ACACCAATACGTTCACAAGGCCAACGTCAAAAGCGAGGTATTACCCTTGCTTAATATTGGATATAGTGGATATTTTTTAGCACTTTTTCTCCCACTCTTTTCGCCGGCTGCATAGTTTTTCTTTAAGTTGATTGGTGGACAATAAGTAAAAATAACAAGTAAAGCGTCTTCAGACATTCTTTTATGTAATAAAAAAATATTTCTAGCCGAGCGAGGTTTTGATCCTCGGACCTCTGGGTTATGGGCCCATCACTCTTCCACTGCTCCACTCTGTTGCTGACCGATACTTCTTTTCATTCACATTGTCTTGCTAAAACATCTCTTTGTGAACGCCCCTTTTGTACTTTTGTAAACTTCGAGTCACAGGATTGGCTAATTGTAGATCCTCCTGGGATTTCAGAAGCCTAAAGTGATCTAAAAATAACTGGAGATGGATTACCTTGTTGGGAATAAGACCTGTATGGGGAATTGATGAAGTCTCGTACTTTTCATCATCTCTTATAGTAACACTATGTATGTTGGTCTGAAGTCAAAATGCTAGACATTATCAGAAATTACCCAGCTTTAGTTTCAGAGAGAGCAGAAGCTTATCACCTGAGTAGCTTGTGGAGGCAGTGATTAAACTAGAAAAAAAAGTAGTAGTCGTGGCCGAGTGGTTAAGGCGACGGACCGCCCTCCGCCCCCTAAGTTTGGCTAAAGAAAGAAGAAATCACAGAAGGAAGAAAAGTCGGCAGGTCAAGCAGAACAAAACCCACCCCCCTCCCCAGCTCTAGGTCTTGATCCGCCATTGCTTTGAACAGTAAATGTGTCGGAATGATATTTTGACAACAAGCAAGTTTGATCGCGATCAAATGATACCTTTTGAACCTCCACCGAAAGTTTAAAGGCCTGATGGACGGAAGCTTGTTTGATTTAGTAACAAACAAAATCATTTGGAATTTTTAGTTTCATAGTACTTTAAAATGAAAAAGGAATAGCGTGTCCAAAATGTATTTTTTTTT